GTGTGGTATCCAATCACTGTGATGAAAGTGTCAAAATAGAGCCTCATCCCGGATGTAGGACACTGACAGAGCTTGGTAGTCCTCAGATCACCTTGGCTGTTCTTCCTCCACCCTGTCAACCCATAACAAAGAAATTACAATCTGGTTAGAAAAATTAATTCATGTACCTGTTATAATTCCTGCCCAGAGCCCCACATTTATTTGGACACTTTACTGGATCTCATCCTAATTCTTGTACCCATATTTATTTTTAATAATCTGTTTTGAGCGAGTTCCATTCTTTCTCTCTTCTTTTGCTCAAGGTCACTCTTCTTTCTAGCCTGCTCCTGCTGCCTTTCAGTCACTAAATCTGTCCTCATCACCTTTGTTGATGCATTCATTTTCTCACTCTTGGATAGGCCTTCCCTGACACACACCATGTCTCTTCAACCACCAGTACTTCCTATGCCTAGGAAGTAGGCATTATTTTCCTTGCACATATAGTAGATAGTATACATGCATGGGTATTGCCTTTGTTTTCTTTGCTTGTCTACCTTCCCTTCCCCTGCCCATTCCTCTTCACCTCTCCCCCACAGTAGAGATCTAAGAGGCAGGAACTTGCATCCAGTTCTTCACTGCTTGCCACAGAGCTCCTAAGAAAATTCCCAGCACATAGTAGCTACTCAAGAAGTATTTATGAATTAATGAGAGATTAACTGATTCTAGATCTACTGAAATCTCTGGACACTCCTTATCTCCAGCTCCCTTTCTTCCTCTATTTACTTTACAAAAGTTATTGTTTTACAGCTTCATTATAAGTGCTTAGGTCTTTTTTTTTTCTTCCTTTCTTTTGTTTTATAGGTCACTTGGGCAGACTTGTTTAAGGATTCATCAGCAAGATAAGGGGCGTTAGGTCATTGCACCAGTGTTGATGCACTAGGCTATATGGTGGTCTTTAGAAATACACAAAATGTAGAAAACTGAGATATACATTCCAGAGCAGAAAGCTGATGTGGCTTGTGTAACCACAAGCTCTGACGTGCAGTGCTCTTATTTTCTGGAGTTCTTTCTCTGGGTTACAGATCACCATGGCACCTGGATCCATCATGACAGCCCCCATCTGTCTAGTGGAAAATGAGCAACAGCAGCTGAGGGTAAACCGAGAAGCACTGAGCATTCTGGAGGAGATCTCAGAGCCCGTGGTGGTGGTGGCCATCGCAGGGCTGTATCGCACAGGGAAGTCCTACCTAATGAACCGCCTGGCAGGACAGAACCATGGTGAGTGCTGCTCAGGGGCAGGGGACATGGGCTGGATGACATTGAAGACACTGCCTATCATACCTCCTTTGGGATCATTTTAGGAAAAGCCTAGCATTTCCCACAGGAGAACAATAATTGTAACCACTAACTTTATCACCTCAACCTCATCTGTCCTCAAATCTGCCTTTCTTGTCCAGTAATAAAACAATTCCCCAACCTTATCAAAGGATCTATCCTATTAGTTTAATCTCATTTGCTCGAATCTGCTCAGGTCCAGCAAATATTCCTTACTTATTCCAATATCCATTTTGCCTAAACTAGATATTTTTGTAGCCAAATTTGATGCTATATCCTCTTCTATTTCTATATTTAGAGTATTTTCTAATGTACACATTAAAATAAATAGAAATTTGCACAAAATATACATATATAATAAATTTAGTCAATATACATGGATGAGCTCTGTAATTACTGTTCAAATATGGGAATAAAACACTATCATGTAAAAGCCAACATAACACCCTCCCCCCGAGCTCACTTATGTTTTTTTTTTAAAGATTTATTTATTTATGCATATGGAACTGGGGTACAGGCCAGAGGTGCAGGGTCAGTGAAAGTCTTCACCAGAGACAGAGTGGGGAGCAGAACAGGCCGAATGACGAAATACACTACTGAGGGAAGCAGAGGGTGGGTCAGGGGAGGTCTGCCGTGCCATGTGGTCACTTCTGGGGCAGGCGGGGATCGAACTCATGCTGAAGTAGCTTTAGCTTCTTAGTGCTGTGTTGTAATCTGCTGCGCCACAAGGGAGGACCCGTCACTTATGTTTTTATCTTCATGGTGCATTCTTTCACTCTTCATTTAATTTAAAAAATAGTTAATCTGCATATGCATTTCTAAAAAGTTGTTTAGACTTCATATAAAGGAAATTGAATTGGTATCTTGCTTCTATTGTTCAATATGATGTTTATAGTAAAGTTCTCAGAATTTGTCATCTGTGTAAGTTATTTATATTTACCACACTATACTATTACCTAAAGATAACACAACTTATATATTCATTTGTTGGTGATGAAAGTGATATTATTTCTAGTTTTTATGAATGGTGCTACCATGAGTATTTTTGTATTTAGACTTTGTGATATGCCAAGAAGTGGAGCTGCTGGCTCATAGAATAGATGCACTTTCAGCCATTCTAGGTATTAACAGACAGTTTTTCCAACTTTATATCCTATTATTGATACCACTTTCTCCTCTTCCTTTATAGGTTTCCCTCTGGGCTCCACTGTGCAGTCCCAAACCAAGGGCATCTGGATGTGGTGTGTGCCCCACCCCTCCAAGCCAGACCACACCCTGGTCCTTCTGGACACTGAAGGGCTGGGAGATGTGGAAAAGGTGCAAGAGAGCATCTTCTTGCTCTTGATACCCCACTTATTTTTCACTTTGCCACCTCAAGTCAGTTTTATTTCATAGCCCCGTAAGATGCATAACCAGTTATGAACAATAAGGACAATTCTGTTTTCTTGAATTTGCTCCTTTATACAGATCAGAAATTATTAGGAACAGATCTTCTCTCTTTAACAGTGCATTGAATGATTGTAGATAAATACTTAAGGGTAACTGAAAGTATGGTTTTCTTCATTAAATACTACAGATCCCACAGTGAACAAAATGAAAGCCCAGAAACTAGCTAGGGAGATAAGAAGTATTCAGCACTTAAAAAATAAGAACTTAACCCTATCATTCAGGCTACAGGAAATATATGGAGGAAGTAGTAACTTAGAATGTTTTAGTTATGGTGTGTGTGTTGAGGGGACAGGGTGTGTATTTATGAAGTTTAGAACAGGAACCATGAAAATAGGAGCTCAGTGAAATAGTCTAAAAAAGTAACCCTTTCAAAAACTTCAACTATGCCAGGGCTACTCATTTTGTGTAATTCTTTGAGTTTTGAAGATGAACTCTTCACTAATTACATAAAAACATGAATAGGCCCACCAAAGCACTATAAAAGAAGTAATTATAATGCTATGTTTTCTCTTTATTTATGTTAGTCTGAGTCTGAATGGGAAATAGAAGTAGAGGCTCCTTGACTTCCATTATTGTCAAAAGAGTGAGGGTATAAGCTTAGAATTTCTAAGTTTAAAAAATTCACCTTAAAGTGGTCAATAATTAATCAATATAAGCTCTCAATGATCTAATGATTCTGAAGAGAAAGTGCTTTTAGAAGACTTTGTATCAATGTACTATTTATTAGTGTACCCAAACACACCAAATTGTAAGTTAACAGCTGCAGAGCTATTGCTGTCCTTGCATACTGCAGTGTATTTGAATGTTACCTGATTCTATGGCAAGTCACTATAACTGTCTTAAATCCCACTACAGCCATGGCATCTACTCCCACACAAATAACTAAGGGTCAGATAAAAACCACTACTACAGTCAAATAAAGTCCAATTTCCAAAAATTCCAATTATTCCAATTGTCTTCTAATGGTTTCTATCTAATGGCGTATTAATGTCCACAATTCTACATTCTGTCGGTGCTTTAAAGCCATGCTATTTTCAATCTAATTCTATCTATTTTTATTTCAACCTGAACATTTCTTATTCTGAATTAACAGAGCACTTTTCTAGATTTTTTGAAAGTGCCCTTTGTATATGTGGTCATTGTGGTTTCATTTCCATGCTACATATATATCTGCTCCTCTAAAAAGGAATCTTTGAGGCACAAACTTTATATTCACATAAATAAACACAGTCTGATATTTTGTAGATATGGAGTGAAAAGTGTTAACTTCATTTAATTGAATAATTGTGCCCCTCATAGAGTCAATAATTAAAAAAAATTCACAAACAACATTGCTTACTTCTATGTCTAGTTATTTGATTTAATATCTAACATACACTAATAGTGGCATTCATTGTTAATGCTACTTGCTCAACTATCTTAGACTGTGAGAGGAGTCAATATAAATACCAAACTGAGGTTTTGTTTTAGAATTGTCTTCAAAATTTGTGATTTTTTTACACTATATTCAGCAACAATACAAAAGACAGAATGAGTAAAGAAATAATTAGTGAAGGAAGAGTAAGCTCCTAAATCCCCTAAATAGTGCACTTTCTAGGGTGACCCTAAGAATGACTTGTGGATCTTCACACTGGCCGTACTACTCAGCAGCATGTTTGTCTACAACAGCATTGGTGCCATTAACCGCCAGGCCCTGGAGCAGCTACAGTATCCTTCCTGAGCAAAACTGCCTTGTATTATCAGTGTGTGGACATAGCATTGACACTATTTTAATTTCCCATAACTCAGTTCTCATGGAGAACTGGGAAAAGGGAGAAGAGAACAAATGGGAATGTTTATAAAACTGATTTGGGAGTAAAATCTGGAAATTTTGTTGAAGGGCACTTCTCATTCCTTAGCTAAGATCCCAGTTATGTGACTGAACTAGCAAAGTTCATCAAGATCAAATCCAGTCCCAGCTCTGATGAAAACGACGACTCAGCTGAATTTGTGAGTTTCTTTCCGGACTTTGTTTGGACTCTGCGTGATTTAGTGCTGGAGCTGGAATTACATGGTCACTCCATCACTGAAGATGAGTACCTGGAGAATGCCTTGAAGTTGACTAAAGGTATAGAGAATGTCCTGGGTAATGGAAGGATCAGTGGGGGTGGGATTCACTAACCTCTGTCACTCAACAGTTGCGGTGAATTTTTACTTGACTTTGGATTGTCACTTATGACATGGTTATTGGTGTCTGCCTATTGAGTATGCAGTCAATCACTGTACTGGAAAAACTTTGGTGACCAGAGTTTAAGCTCACTAAGGAATTCTGAATCCATTATTAGACCAAATGAAATAGAAAACTGATACCTTGAAAAAATTCAGTTATACCCAGTGTTCAAACTTCCTAAAGCCCACATATCTCTCTTACATATTCAGTTTAAATATTCTTAAATTTCTATTTAGAAAGAAAAATGTATATTTTATTAGGAAATGGTAAATACATAAGCACAAAGACATCAAATTATCAAACTCTTGAAATATATGTCATGCAGTTTATTTTACTAGCCTATGTAGTTACCTTCTTCATATATACTAAAGGTTTGCCAAAAAAGCACTATCTATCCTTCCAGTGAGACTGTAAAATTCTTTATTTTGGTTTTCCATAGCAACACTTTCCTTATTCTATAGTTTTACATTTTGTGTAGCTATGTTAATATAAAGTATTCATTATTATGATTATACTTAGCAGATATGATAATGGATGATACCCAGAATCAAATTTCATTTTGGTTGTTTTAATACTTATGAATACTTTCAACAAATATTTATTTGACAGTTGATACATATCAAGAATCCTTCTGGATGACATTATCAATATAATTTGAAATACAGAATTGGTTATGATATGGCAGCAATGGCACTCAAACTAGCTGGGGACTCTGCCCAAATAGTTTACCAGTTACTGTCTGGGTTCTTTACTCTTGCGCACAATTACAAGATTGCTCAGGATTAGGAAGCCACCATAAAAAGATCGATTTAACAACTAGAGGAAAAAAAGAGTTAGTAAGGACAAAAGCTGTGTCCAGTATTACTCAGTCCTACACAAAGATGATTAAAATCACATCTTCCCTCCATTGACAAGACAGAACTCCTCTCCTGAAAAATAAGCCACGTGCATAGGATGGTGTCTGCTTGCCACTGTGGACATGTGGCAGTCAAACTATCGATCAGTGTCTCATTTGAAAACACAGCTCAAGATACAAAAGAAAATGCTTCTTAAGCTGCTGAAATGCCTCAGTGCACCAGACGGGTGATACACAAGGCAACAGGTGTAGTGGCCAAATGACTGGACAGATGGCCATACTCAGGAATTTTAACAAGACCCTGGCTCTCAAGTCCCCCTTTCTCTTCTTCGCCAGGCCTCCAGACAGTGAGACCTCTGGCTGCCAGGTGTCTTTTGCTTTTTTTGCAGGCCTACCAAGGCTTGAACGAGGCCATGCATGATAGCCTCTGCCATGCAGTCTGTGCCAACATAGCCCAGCTCTGCAAAGCCCATACGGAGATGCCTGGGACCACTCGCTGCATTGCCACACTGTTGCTGCATTGCCACACTGTTGCACAGCACTGCTGCAGCTGCTGTCCTGCCAGGCCATTTGCCAATTCCTATATTACCTCTCAGTCGCACCACCCACTTTTAGCATTTTTCCTAGGAACTCCCTATTTTATCAGTCACTCCCTCCAGGTGGCATCACCTCTAACAGTCTACAGTTTCAGCCACCACTTGAAACCAATTACAGTGAGTCCTCCAAACTGCAAGCCTTAATCTTAGTATTGGTACTGTCTGTTAAAGGAATCTATAAACATATTTCTCTTCTCTAGTCAGTGTCTATTTATTTGTGGAGCCCTGCTTTTAGAAAGTTTTTCTTTACTTTCCTGAGTATCAACAGTCTCTTACATGGTATTTTCCCAGCCATATCATATATACCTTTTTTGAGGCCTATACTTTTCTGTACAACACACATTTTGTTACTAACAAGTCATCAAAAAGTTCTTCTGAAAACTTTTTATTAAAGCATCATTCAAAAACATCTAAAATATAGTCAATCACTGCGCACCACCAAGTCTAAATAAAATGCTCATAGGTTTCTTCACTTGGGATGGAAACCTCCTTCATCCCATGAGAAGTTTTTCCTTCACTCTTTTTTCTATATAAAGAAAGGATTCATCATGGCTTGGGTAGAAGTATATTAGTTGATGAAATGATTATAAAAATAGAAATTTACTGGCACAGGATCTGCATGGATCAAATTCCTGGAAATTAAAGTCTTCTGCCCACAACTAAAAGGTATTCCTTCAGTGATTATTCTTTTTTAACTTGTGAAGGTGATCATCCCAGAACCCAAATGTCCAACCTGCCCAGAGAGTGTATCAGGAAGTTCTTTCCAAAGCGGAAGTGCTTTGTCTTTGACCGACCTACGAGTGACAGCAAACTCTTGCTTCATATGGAAGAAGTGTCAGAAAATCAACTGGATCTGAAATTCCAAGAGCAATCCCAAAGATTCTGTTCCTATATCTTCACACATGGAAAAGCCAAGAACTTGATGGAGGGGATCACTGTGACCGGAAATGGTGAGTTTCTTGTCACAACATGTCTCTGTGGCTCAGTGTGTGTAATGAAGCTCATGCTCCCTGGGATTGTTGACACTGTTGTGTCTTTCTTTATGTGGTGCAGAGAAGCAGGGGCTCATGCCACACATGGGAATGCATGTTTCTTCTATAATATCCCCAATAAAGAGGTTTAATGAATTCCACTTTAATTTATGAAACTAATATACTAATGATGTGAGCACTGGCTGTGTTAAAAATTGAAATGTGGGCCCTCCCTGGTAGTGCAGTGGGTTAAAGCACAGCACTAAGAAGCTAAAGCGACTTCAGCACGAGTTTGATCCCAGCCTCGGAGGTGATCCACATGGCACAGGAGATCTCCTGACACCTGCTGCTCCCCTCAGCAGTATACTTCATCAGTCTACCTGTTCTGCTCCTCACTGTCTCTGGTGAATCCTCCCACTGCCCCTGCACCTCTGGCCTGGACCCCAGTTCTATAATGCATAAATAAATAGATCTTGAAAAAAATTGAAATCTATAAAGATGAGTTGATGGGAAAAGTGTTTCTTGGTGTGAATACACAAGATAATCTGTGAATTTACAAAAGTTAGGATGTAAATAGCAGACATAAGTCTCTGAAAGCTCATCAAGAATTTAAATATAATCTTACATCTAGAGCTGAATATGGACAGGCTACCTGGGCAGAGACTCTTGTCCTGTGTTCAAATGAACCTGTACCTGAATAATGTGTGTGGCACTGACCTAAAATCCTTAATGATTTTTTATAAGGGTGTTCACATTTTTATATGGAATGAATGCCATTGAATTATGTATTTTAACTGTAATATAAGTTCACATTTTTATATGGAATGAGTTCCAACGAATTATGTACTTAACTGTAATATAAGTCTTTTTTATTTTATTTATATGAGTAAAGTTTTCCAGAAAATTTTGAACACACAGGTTGATAATATTAATGTACTATGGTAATGTTACGAGTTAGAGAACCACAAAAGAGAGAGTGAAGGATACAAAGTGACATTATTAGATGAAGTGAATTCATAGAACTTGAAAGAAGAGATAAAAATAATGAGGTCAAGGTTGAACATAAGGCAAATATGAAAGTAAAGATAGTTCAATAAACTTTTTGTGATTTTTAGAGTGTTGGTCTATAGATGTTGTAAATTCTATTTATTCTCCAAATATCATATGACATTCAGGGCTGGGAACTCTCATTGTGACCTACGTGGACACCATCAGCTGTGGAAGTGTTCCTTGTTTGGAGGATGCGGTAACAACATTGGCCCTGCTTAAGAACCCAGAGGCTGTGCAGAAGGCAGCCAATCACTACAGCCTGCAGATGGTCCAGAGAGTGTTGTTCCCCACAGACACGCTCCAGGAGCTGTTAGACCTGCACGCAGCCTGTGAGAGGGAGGCCATCTCAGTCTTTATGGAGCACTCCTTCAAGGATGACCAGCGGGAGTTCCAGAAAATGCTTGTGGTAAAAAGTCTTAGTCTTCATTTGCCCATATTTCTGTGTTTCCAGAATGAGGCCTAGATCCACCATAATCAGTAATAAGGTCCTAAGCTTTCATTGTAGCAGGTCCATCCTTTTTCTAAAAGAGTAGCTCTTTTTTTCCTTTTATGACAAGTTACTGTGAGCTTACCATCTGAAAACATTTGTAGCTCACAGTTCTTCATGTCAGATCCCAGCAAAAGATGGTATCAGCCCTCTGGCTGATAGAAAGCAAGTTTCAAATGGGCTTATTTTATCATATGGAAGCCCTGGGGAACCATTCCTCCAATTTAATCAATCAAGGGCATATGCCATCTCCTTTTGTTTTCAAACTATATGACTACCTTCTCTTTCCCAAATTAAAGAACAGTGCCCTTAAAGTATTCATATATTATATTATGCCCATTTGTTGATCTCTTGTTTTTAAAATACCCTTTTTAACATAACTAAATCACAGGATTTTTCTCAGAGAAAATGCAGAGTGTAAACAGCAGAGGTAAGAACTTTAGGAGGTTGTACTAATAATTCCTCTTAACAGGAGCACCTTTACTGAAAGTTTGCCTTTGAATTTGTACTTCATGGTTCTACAAATTGCAAGAAAACTTCATTCATATACAACAAAGGATTGCAATTTACAAATAAACAATCATGTTTCTGTTCATAATATTTGTGGACAGACACACTTGTTGAAAGAACTTATGACAGGTTCAGAACTGTGTTTAGAGGCCCCTTAACTCACTAATGAGCAGTTGATATGCTATGTGTATATGTATATCATACCAACCCAAGTAGCAAAGAAAGTCTTACTTCCTGTCATCCAACATTTCCATTGTTTATTGTTGATGAATGGAGCACTATTGATTGTATGATTCCAAAGTGAACCACTGATAACACTATATTGCATATTTAAATTGATCAGGGAATAGCTTACAAAAGAACTTCTTAGAAGAAAATTCAACACTATGTCAGATGACAAATATTAACTGTGTTGTGATCATTGTGCAGTATCAACAGCTATCAAAATATTAATAGAACAAATGAAACTAATAAAATATTTTATGTCAGTTACACCTCAATTCAGAAAATAAAAAGGAACAATTGAGTTGACAACACCAATCCCATCATTTCACAGGTAATGTCCTCAGCCTACAGAGGGTAAAGAATTTTCAACAAGTTATGAAAAAAATTGATCAGAACTGTGGCTCCTGGTCATTCCATGTTTCATCCACTCTTAAGTGACCACTACTTCTTCCAGGAGGATCCCACTTGGACTTTCTCTCCTAACAACTTCTTTCTTTTGGATTTCTCTACACTGGCAGGAAACCATACAGAAAAAGAAGGAAGAGTTCTTGCTGCAGAATGAAGATGTGTCTTGCAACTATTGCCAAGCTGAGCTTAGGAAGCTTTCAAAGTCTTTAATGGAGAGTGTCTCCAGAGGAACATTCTGTGTGCCTGGAGGACACAGTCTCTACTTAGAAGCAAAGAACAAAGTTATGCAGGACTATGAACTGGTGCCCAGGAAAGGAGTTAAGGTGAGAAATAAACAGAGCTGAGATGAGCACAATTGAGTGGGGAGTCTCAGACTACAGGATTACTTGTGTAAGTAAAGGAAAGCATAGGGATAGCTGTTTAGCTTTGTATCCAAATTATTTAGATACTCTTAAATAAGTGAGAAATATTTCCTCCCAAATGTGGAGGGAGTAATGATCAGGAATCTAGATGACAATGAGCATTCCTTCACTTAGCAAACAGTATAACCATTTCTGTGCTAAGTATAGGGATACATAATGAAAGAAAAACACAGGATTCTCAAGAAATTTAGTCTCCTCATAGAAGGACAAATGCATAGTCCATTGGATATGGGACATAACAGTTATCACAGAGTTATACCTCAGTTGAAGATGGCGATGTTGATAGTGATCGTTGCAATGGTGATTTATGACTCAATTATTTTGTGTACTCACATCCTAAGTCCAGTGTTTGGATAATGAATCCTCAAGAGAATGTGAATTAGCTGTTACTTCCAAAGAACTCGGCATTCCATCATTCAATTGAGAAAAGGTATGCACTGAGAAGTTAGTAACTTGCCTACAAGCTGGTAGGGAAGCTCTTGTACCTGGCAGCCATTCAAATCTAGAAACCACTTAAGAAAATCTTCCTGCAAGAAGTGGTAGGAGCTATAGTATCTATAAGTGATAGCTTAGTAAAGAGAGATTACACAAGCATCCAATCAGAAGGAAACAATATGCAAACAGCAAACAACAGAGACTTTATCCCTGTGGAACAGGATGTAAATCTGGTAGTATGTGACATGGGAGTGGGGGAAGGCGACATGCTTAGGATGAAAAACTAAAGCTAAAATGGGAGCTACTTTATCTTGGTGTTTGTTGTGGCCATGAAAGAAAAGTGCCAGTGTGCATACTAAAGCAGATGGGGAATTTAGGGGTTACTATTTATAGTTTTTGAACCACAGTTCCCCTAATAAAAGAATAGATCTTTGCTGCCTGACTGTGCCTTTACTTCCCGTTGTTTCCTCAGGCGAAGGAGGTCCTGCAAAGCTTCCTGCAGTCACAGGCAGCAACAGAGGAATCCATTCTACAGGCTGATAAAGCCCTCACTGATGGGGAAAAGGCCATAGCAGGTATGGGACAGGGAGGGAAGGTCCTGTGGTGCAATGACACGGGTGAAAGCAAAACCTTTCTGAAACAACCAGGATACTTTCTTTTTGTGGGGAAGTTCTCATATGTGTGAAATAAACCAGATAGGGTTTGTAGCTCCTACAACTAACCAATACCTTCCCATCACATTCTGACATGTTTTGTTGGTGTGACTACGAGGTGGTTTCAGTGACTCCTCCCTGACTTTTAAATAGACCATTAGCCTATACTCAGATAGGTCTAGCTCTGCATTACTGTTATTTTCTTCCCCCTGCAAAACTGTTGTGGAACAGCTGAGCGAGCCAAGAAGGAGGCAGCTGAGCAGGAAAAGGAGCTCCTAAAACAGAAACAGAAGGAGCAGCAACAAATAATAGAGGCTCAAGAGAGAAGTTACAAGGAAAACATATGCCAACTGAAAGAAAAGATGGAGCGAGAAAAAGATGAGCAACTGAGAGAGCAAGAAATGGTGCTGGAGCATAGGTTGAAGGTATGTCTGCATGAGGCATGGCCAGTGAGTGAGGGCAAAACCATGGTAAGGAAGAAAAGCACAAAAATGTATTAAAGTCATGGCCTAGAGGAAAATACAAAGGTATATGATTTCCTGGTATATGATTTCCTGACATAGCCATTAAACCTGGATTGTGTGAAGCCTTAAAAGTGATTTAACACATTCTGTATCATTTGAATTTGCAGAGTACAAAACATGTGGATGGTTGTTTATATGACTATAGGATCTGATTCTGATTTCAAGTGAAGAGAACAGTAGTCTTCGAGGCCTTAGAGTCAGTCCTTTATTTCATAAAACCACAGAGATCTGAAATAGATCCATTTGATTTTGGCTGTATCAGATTATGCTTGACATAAGATAGGGGGTGCTGAAAGCACTAAAATTGAGTTGATTTTATTCCAAATTGGCTGATTCATTCCATAGAGTATACTGAGTGTACATGAATAAGCCTGGGGGGCATTCCTGGAAGCATTCTTTGTCCCAACCTGGAGTGTGGTAACTATATTCTACAGACAGCCAGCGCGTACCATTATTTCTAACACGTGTGTCTCATGAACTTTAGGGAACCAAGAGATGGTTAAAATTATACCTACATTCCCTCCCAAATTGTGTTCATAGGGTTGTCATCCCTGGCTCAGCCCCAACAGCTCCCTATTGCCATGAGATGTGTCTAGGGGTCATAGGTAGTTACAAAGCAAGTCTACTCCCACTAACCAAGCCCAAACATCTGTATATATTATACAAAATCAATAAAGAGCATCTACATAGTAGGAAATATTAGTATACTTCACTGCTGCAATTGTTAAGTAAAAAATGCTTATTACTGGGCCTTTTCAACAGGAGACTTTCTTCTTTCTACAGATGCAAAATGAAATACTTACTGAAGGATTCAAAAAGAAATATGAGCAGATGAACGAAGAGATAAACCATCTAAGAGAAGTTATTAGACAAACTAGAAGCAATGCATCTAGAGCAATTACTGACAGCCTCCTGCAAGTTGGCAGTATATTATTTACTATAATGCCCGGGCCTTTTAAGCTCACTGCTTTGCCTATAATCATTCAAGGCATAGTTAAAAGATTCCAGGATAATTACAATGAATAAAATTAAAAATAAAAAATTATTACAGCCTTCCTGGTGGCACAGAGGGTGAAAGAGCAGCACTGCAAGTTGGCTGCAGCTGCTGCAGTGCGGGTTCAATCTCTGGCCTTGGAGATGATACGCATGGTGTGGCAGACCTCTCCTGTCTCGCCTGCTGCTCCCCTCAGCAGTGTACTTCATCAGTTGGCCTGTTCTGCTCCCCACTCTGTCTCTGGTGAGTTCTCTCACCACCCCTGTACCTCTGGCCTGTACCCCAGTTCTGTATGCATAAATGAGTAAATCTTTTTTAAAAAGTCATTATCAAGGATCTGACATCTTAAAATCTTAAAAAGCAACATTCATTTTGATTGAATTAATACAAAGGAACAGAAGACAAATTAATTTAATGACTTAGTCATATAAAAGTTTCCCTTTCCTACAAAGCAAAAAGACAAATAGTAAGATGAAGAAACCATATGAAACCTACATTATGGGCATAGAGTTAATTTCTTGAAGCTATCACTCTTAAGGTCAGTGACATAATGAACAATCCCACATTTTTTTTTTAAAGATT